AATTGGATTGGTTATTTATATCCCTGAATTAATTAATTCACGGATGGGATTTAATTAAATGAATTAATTAAATATTGGATCGGACCGGGCCGAACCCGTTTGGGTTTATATAAATATATGGTTAGGGTTTAAAATCCATATTGTTTTGATAATTCTTGCTGATACAAGAGGAAAAACCCTAACAGTTGCAGTCTATTCTCTGTGTGGATTTCATTCGAGGCTGGACAGCTCTGGGAGGCAGATTCAAGTTGCTGGAAAAGGGATAACGCAAAAGAGTTTGCAAAATCAAGAAAAAATGTATATTTCTTATCACAGTTCTTATCTAAATACAAAGCTGAATCCTGGTGGGAATTGAAAATATTTATTTCCGCTGTGCATGTGTAAGTAAAGTCCCAACATTTAGGATGTAGTATGTAGTGTTTATAGCTTCAGCCCACAATTTAACAGGGAGTTTCTTGATATTCAAAATCACCCTAGCCATTTCTTGTAAAAACCTATTCTTTTTTTCTACAGCACCATTTTGCTCAAAGGTTTTAGGAAGAAAAACTCATGAAAAAGATACTATATGCTTTACAGAATCTAGAAAAGATAAAAGTTTTAAATTCCTTACCATGATCATTCCCAAGTCTTACAATTTTAGCACTCAAAGTGTTTTTCAGTAGTCAATTTTTTTATATTAAAATGTAACTCTTTCAAAAATATCAAATTTCTCTTTTAAAAAGTCTACCCAAGTGTACCTGGAGAATTCATCAACAATCACATAGATACACCTTTTACTACCGAGGTTTTCAATTTGAATTAGCCCTATCAAGTCCATATGTTGCAATCCAGAACAGTGAGAGGTAGCAAGAACCGAACTTATTTATGTGTAGTTCTAGTTGGTTTACTTTTCTGGCCTAATCCAAATACGCCTTCAGGTTTTTATGTAAGCTTAGGAACTCCTTTTACTGTATTGAGTTAAGTAAGTCTAACAGATCTCTATAATTTAGGTCTAGGTCCATAAAGTTAGGTTTTATAACATGATATGAGACTTAACATCTATAACTAGACCCAGCATTATGTAGGACACAACTACCATTATTTTTCAATACCTTATAGGGTTTTACTGAGTGTACAGCTCGGGCTGTACACTCAGTTTCACAGCCCCCTCACAATGAGGGGGCCCCACCTGTTTTTTTATTTTTTTTACTGTGCACGGGCCCCCCCGATGTGAGGGGGCTGTGAAAGTAGGTGTGAACCGTGCTGTGTATGTAGCACGGTCCTACCTTATATGTGCTTTTAGTAAACATTACCATAAGTTCATCATCATAGAGTTGACTGACACTAGTCCAATTAGTATTTAAAGTCAACAACAAATAGCACATCATTTAAAATAGGTAATCCATCTATAACATGTTGGAAAAAATTTGAGTGAGCAGCTCACTTTTGACACAATTTTCGAGGGGATCCGTTGGTCCAATGTGGAATATCAAAGTTGATATGTGTTCTCCTCCGCAAGAACATCGATTTCATGTATTTATTTGCCAAAAATGAAGTTCGGGTGAATGAGAAATTGAAGTTCAAAGTTAGTCATTGGAAGTTGGTTTTGTGGGAAAAAAATACATTTATCTCATATAGGAAAATCAAGGAAACTCAAACCGCTTTATATATGGTTATGCTTTGAAGATGTGTAATCATGTGTAGTATAGAGGCTCTCTCCACGTGCGTACGCAGGGGGTGCAAATCACGAACCAAAATGGCCTTCGGACCTTGAACTTCGGTGCGGGTGCGACCTGCGCACGTGAATGTTGGACCGAACAAGGCAAAAATGACCCCATCGGAGAGCCCACGTCTTGCCAATTTTTTTTTTTTTTGGCCTTTTCCAATGACTTTTGAGTTTTTAAACTGAAAAAACTCTAATGGACTCCTACAGTGTTAATGGGGAGTACTCCAATGGACTCCCAATGGTCACAATATTAATGGGCAATATGCTTATAAAAAGGCTTATTCTCTAGCAATCTAACACACTCGAAAATCTCATTTACATTCCTACATACAAAGTTTCTTCTTTTCTACATTCTTTGTCCAATAAGGTCTTGTTCTTGTGGTGATTTTGTCCAGATACAAGATCAGTTCGTCGGAGTAGGATCGCGGCGCTCGGATTCCGCTTACTACCGCTGTATCCTGGGAGACAGCCGCTCGAACTGAACCTCCAGCACTTACGGCGAGGAGGCGAAACTGTCTTAAGGAAACTGTGTACGCACAGGCCTCGGTTTGAAATCTGCTGCAGTTTGTGTTTTCTTTCTACAGATTATTTGCATTACTATTTAGTTCGTGCAGTTTGTAGTTCCATAGTGTGCAGCTTTCAAATTCATCGTTTACAGTTTTAGCCTGCAGTTAACTTATATTTCTGATTTTGTGTTGCTAAACATTTTTTTTCAGCCGTTGAAAAATTCTGAAACAAAATTTTTTTTGATAAATTGAAATCGTTTACCTTGTGATTATTAATTTCAATAGTCGGCTATTGCAATTGAATAAAACTTATACAATTAGTTTCATCCACTAGCGACTTGTTTTCCTACATAACAATTGTATCAACACCCTCGATTTTAATCTGGACACCATTACTTAATGTAACAAGTCCACATGAAAACTTCTAAAATTTGTTAACATAGAAATCACCAGTCATATGTCTCGAACAGCCACTGTCAAAATACTAAAAATTGGGTACAATGGATTTCAAGCTATATTAATTAATTAGCAACTAAGATTTTTTTTACCCCAAACTTAATTTTAATTTAAAGTGCTAGTTAGCAAGTTAAATATTTTTGTGTGATGTTTTTTGTGTGATAAATAGTGAAGTGAATCATGTCCACATTAATCACAAAAAGTACATCCGATAGTATGTTGTGACTTATCATCTGATTGTGATAGTGAAGCTTTACTTGATTACATGATGCCAGGATCTGAATCAAGTATTTAGAGGTAATCAGAACCTATGGTGGAGAGCTAGCCACTGACATTGTCCTGTTGTCAGAGGTTCTGTTGGTACTTTGGCTACAGTTTTATGCATCTGACCTAGAAGTTTGTCATATTCAGTTGCTTTGACAAACTTCAATTGGGTGGATTCTTTCTCTTTTCCTTTCCCCAAATAACCAAGTCCTTCTTTGACGTTCAAGGTTTTAAGTGAGTGGATTTGATGGTCAACTATCCAACTCACTCATTTGTGTAGTCCAATTCAGCTAGAAGCTCTAAGATTTGATTTTCTTTTTCATTCAGCATTTTGGATACGACTTCTTTTTTGGTTGTAGTCCTCTTCTCTTCAACAAACTCCATTATTGGTAAGAATGTAACATTCTTTTCTTGTTCAACTTCTAGGTTTTTTTAATTTTTTTTTTGAGGTTGAGGTTGAGGTTGAGGTCTTGAACTTCTTCCTTTCTGATTGCTCTTTAGGAATTTTTTAAAATGTTTGGTTAGCATGGCCATGTGTTCATCATCTTTACTTTTTTTCATCATTTTCTTCCTCCTCAACATCTTTGGCTTTGAAGGCAACTCTGGATCCTCTTTCATTCTTCTTCCTATGGTGAAGTAACTCATATGTCATTAAGAAGCGAACCAACTCTTCCACTTTAATGCTTTCGATGTTTTCACTCTCTTCGATGATAGTCACTTTTGAATGGAATCTATTACGTAGTGATCTAATAATTTTCTTTACTATTTTATTTTCAGAATAGTTCTTTCCCTAAGTGTACGCTGAGTTAGTAATATTACTTAGCTTGGCGTAGAATTCCTTGAATTGTTCATCATTTCTCATAGTCAATTGTTCAAATTCAAGGTTGAGCATTTGGAGTTTTGAAGACTTCATAATTGAAGTTCCTTTATGTGCAACTTGTCGTTTATCCCATGCTTCCTTGGCTACCTTGCATGTAGAAATTAAACAAAACTGATTAGAATCCACAAGCTTTTGAATTCCAACTGCCATTATTAGAATTTGTAGTAACCTCCTCTTTTCACGTTTTCTATTTCATTTTCGGATACAGTCGGTACTTTATATCCATAGACAATAGAGTGTCAAGCTTTTTCATCAAGGGATTGAGCATAAACTTGAATCCTAATTTCTCAATATGAGTAATTAGTCTCGTCTAGGACATGAGATCTAAAGGGTGATTCGTCCATATCTAGATTTTTTTTACTTGGTCCCACTTCTTAAAATTGAACTTGCTTTGATACCAAGTATAAATTATCATTTGAATTAAGAATCACAATTTTTAACTCACGCTAAGTAGCTTAATCTTTAAACTAGATTAAATATTTATGCATGTTGTTTTGTTTCTCCAAATATGTTGAAGAGAACGGTTGGCTTTGAATATATTCAGTGAAGCATCACGTTTCTACGAACTCTTTTGAGAATGGCAGAACTACTTGATGACAGAACTGCTTGCTATAGGTTCGTAGGCGGAATTAGGTTTTTCAAAGCTCGACTTTGTATGAGTCAATGAATCATCACATCCTATGTGTTTTAAGAGCATGATAGAAAAATTATTCAAAGCTTTAAATTCAATCTTGATTAATTACCTTATTTATAAGTAAACCAATTATCAAAAAATAAGAATGAATGCTTACCTAAAATTCTAAAATAATTATGATATCAACCTTATCATAAAAGATATGTATTATCATCAAATGTTAATCTTATCATAAAGGATAAGCAATTATCATGAAAGATTAATCTTATCGTAAAAAAATATCCTAGATTTGGAGAAATCCAAGTTTTTCATGAAAAATATGTCAAAAGATATTTTAATCTTACCATGAAAGTTATGCCAAAACATACCTAGATTTGTTAGAAGTCTAATATAAGGAAAAGATAAATTTAATTTAACAATAATTAACTTTACCTACATATTTTATGGAATTTATTACTTTTATCAACTTTTCAACTACAGATTTATCAACTTTTATCAAAAGTTATTAAAAATTTGTTTTTTAGCCACACCAAACATGGACTTTATACCAAGTGCTAAGATAAAAGTTCTGGGCATCATACTTTTTTTAAAAATCCAACCTAGTTTACAGAGTGAATGAACTTTCGTTTTACATAGAAATTCCCACTGGTTTTACATAGTGAATGAATACGGAAATTCACTAATCATCCCACTGGTTTACTAACCTTCCTTTTATTCTTAATCATAAACCGAAACGTAGACTTAAAGTTCAGAGAGAATGAAGATTGGAGTAACTATAATACAGAGTAAATCAAGATTCATTTTTTTGGCTTAATATCTGCATGCAGGGAAGCAAGGAACTTCTTGAGACACCTATTGTAGACGCAAGGGCGCTCTACGTGAACCAGGTGACCTGCTTTCGTTATGTCTTCAAATGTTGCCTTATCTCCTAGCTGCCTGCAATTAATTTCAAGGGGAATTTATCTGATAAGTGAAAGTATTTGAGTCAGGTTATAACTTGTTGCACAGAAATACTTACTCTTTCATTTTTTGAGCAAGTTCCAGCTTGAAAATCTGATCCTTTTCACCCCAGAGAAGATGTATTCTCTGTTACAACACACACATCAACATGCTTGCTTAATTATTTGAATACCTTTTGCGCTTGGGATATTAGTTCAATGAAGTTGCCTAATAATACCTGTGGAAATTTTGGGATGGCAACATCTTTGTTGGTAACCACCAGACCTTCAAGCAATTCAGCTCTTTCCTTTCTGTTGTTAAACATCACCTGTTAAGGTTATGTGGTTTGTTATAATTTGGTAATTTTGTCAATGCTCTTATCTTAAAATCTAAGGCTCATTTTAGTAAATAAAAATTGGATGACACTGACACACATAACCAGATATGTGAAAATGAATAATCCTGCATTATATTTAATAAAATTCAGTGATCTAATCTGTTGCTAGTAATTCAACGAGCTCTAGTTTTTTCCTTTTGAAAAAAAAAATAAACAGAAGAAAAATCCCTAAAAAGAAAGAAACATGGAAACTGTTATTCTTAATTAAGTCTATATATCTAGTGTCTGTATAGTGTAGCTTAAAAAAAATTCAAATATCAGTCAAAGTAAATAATTAATTTTAATGAAGGAAAAAATAATAAGAACTTGTAGGTTGTACACCTAATTTTCCTGGGATTGTAGTTCAATCGATCAGAGCACCACCCTATCAAGGCGAAAGCTACGGGTTCGAGCCCCATTAGTCCTGACGGATTTAATAAATACATCAATTCATCTCTCCATTTTCTTTAAAAGGGGGATAGGGAGCATAATTTCATTCCCAAAGGGGGATCCCTTTTCATTTCGCATTTCTCATCAAACGGGATTTTTCATTACTTCAACTAGTACTAATTGATGGGAGAGAGACATATGTGGATTAGTACAAAGACGAAGGCAGCAAAGTGAAAGGAACAAGGATTGTTTGTTACATGACTTATTCATTTCACAGACTAGCCCAGACTAGCCCGTACTAACAGTAGGTCAAGAATGAGACAGCTACTATTCAAACATTTCATGGGCTCACAATTTGTATCAATTTTTTAATCACATAATTAATTAATTTTTATTAAATTCTATTAAAAATCTGATTTTTAGTTATCAAGTAGTTATTAAATGGCGGTTTTCTAATACTGAGCTATCAATCAGTTATTTATGGGTTTTATTAATCCATAAAGCGTATATTTTGCTCCTAGTCGTGAAGATAAATACATTAACTTGTGACATTCTCCATGCTATCGAGATCATCCTTCAATATATGTCATAAATGCATGTATTAATACCAACAAGTGCTACATAAATTAGCATATAAAATTTTAAATCTACTTTATGTTGAAACGCATTTAATAATACTAACAAGTATTATAGAATTTAACTTTTAAAATTTTTATTTTATTTTATTTTAAATTATGTCTTCAACATGTCAAATGTACCTTTATTTTCTTAAAATATAAACATTAATTAATTGTAAGTCATGTCCATATAATTTTAATTCAATGTTTTATGTACACAAGTATAAAATAGCACAGTCAAATAATTAACTCATTTAAAATTAAAAACGTTACTTCGAGATGTGACCTAGCTTTTCAACATTTTGTGTGACTTGCATAAGAAAAAAAAGTTGGCTTCACATTCTGGTTAATCATGTTGCACAAGAAACTCCACTTATTGACATATGCTGGTTAATCATGTTACACAAGAAACTCTAGCTATTCTGGTTAATTTCTAAAAGTTAAATTAAATTGACTTTTTTTGGGTTCTATTTAACGTACTTGCTATGTTTCGAATGTGTTGTAGTTTTAAAATAGTGATTTTTTCTAAAGTCATCTCTCAAGCATAGCTCTTGGGTTTCAGAGAATAAGATGTTTAAAGTCCCGTTTGGTAGCCATTTTTTTCAAAATGCATTTCTCTTTTTCTTCTTTTTAACCACACATTTTTTATTAAAATAATATTATACGTAAATCAAAAACTTTTCCTTATTTCTCAACCACACATTTCACATCAATTTACTATTCTAAAATACATTTTTACATAAAAATATCTATCAAACACCTCCTCAAAATTCACATAAATGAGAAGTATAGTTAATTAGTGATAAGAATAAATTAAATTTCTACAAATTATTTTTGTCAAGTGTAGTCCATCTCTACATATATATTTCTATTAAAAGGTTAATAAAATTATATGTATGTCTTGCAGTATGAGTGGACCCTTGTAAGGGCTAAACTAGGTTATACCATGTTTGGCGAATCAGTCCGTGGTGTATATATATGTGTATACACACACACACACACACACACACACACACACATTAGGTCAATTTATGGAATACTTATTTGACTTAATTAACATACTAATTTTGTGAGATATATATATATATATATATATAATTTATTTTGTTAATTCTAGCTCAAAATGAAAAAATCCTGAGCCGAAAATATAATCAATAAACCAAAAATAAGGTTGAAATGAATAAGGGAAAGAGAATGGATAACCTCAAGAAAATCCCGATGAAGGCGATTAGGGAACCAAAGTTTCTTGTGAGCGGCGACTTTCAGAAGTGCCTTACATTCCTTCACTGTGTTCGGCAACAGAAGCTGTGCAGAAGAAGAAAATCCCAGGCTTTCGAGTGTCTCATTACTTATAGAATCAGTCATGGCAAGGATAGAACCGGAAATCACCACAGCCTCCACAAATTCCGGGTACATCTCCGCCATCTTAAACGCCACCATGCCACCGTAGCTGAACCCTACAACGGTGCACCTCTCAATCCCCATCTTCCTCAGCCCCTTCAATAGACACTCTGCCTGGAAAGTAGGTGAACGGTCGGGGCTGTTGGTGGTGGAACCGCCGAAAAACAAGAGGTCCGGCACGTAAACCGAGTATTTTTTTGCCAAGGAACCAACTTGAAATTGCCAGGTGACAATTCCTTCTGCTGCAAATCCATGGACGAGTATTACAACTGGTTTGGTAGGCTTAGGTTTAGTGATTTGGTATTCGGTGGTGGATTTTTCGGACTTTTTGTTGGGTTTTTTTAGCGTTTCACAGGGGACCCAAATGTTCATCACGGTGCCTGGTTCGATTTCTATGGTGTGAGGTCTAATGCCAGCCATTTTCATCAAGCAAAGTAATAATGGCTTCTGTGCTGCTACTAGGTTCACCATCTCTACCTGCCTGTTCTTGCGTGTGCGCGTTTTCCTTTTGTGTGTGTGTGATTGATGAGCTGAACAAGAAAGAGTTTTTAAACAAGGAAAAATCCAGGGTTGGTGTTGGTTGCTATGTGTTGTGTTTGCATTAAATGTTAGCATTTGGATAATACCTTGTACAATATTCCACAGTTTTTTCCTTTTTTAAATTATGGTTTGTGTAATTTTAACTGTATGCAGAAGCTTGAATTGTACCTATCTGGCATATAGTAAAGATTGACATTGAATATGTATATAGCCGACGTATGCAAATATTTTTTGCACTAAATAGTGGTAGTTTAGAGATGAACAGTGAGAGCATTTAATAAATCTCACCATTTTGCTCGCATGGGATGACTGAAGACGTACAAAATAAACTTTTGCATCTATGCGCCTCAATGTTGATGGATTTCGTGTACGTAGAGTTGACCTGTAAATCTTGTTGTAGAGGTGATCGTCACATTTTCACCTTTGCAATGATGTAGAGTTGTCGTCTAGTTTATTTTTTGATTATCTATATATGTCTTGGATTCTAATCTATAACATATACTGATAAATTTTCATATGAAATTCTCGATTAAACCAGCTTGCAGAGATTTCTAGGCATGTCAATTATGTTGCCGATTTTTTCAAAAATATATGTTAAATTTGTTCCCCACTTTTCAAAAAATTACAAAAGAACCCTATCCCATAGAGTCACGAGCACACTGTAGTGGTCCAAGATGTCAAAAAACAATAAAAAATATTCCATGTCTTTCAATTCTCGACCCTACCACCTCTATTATTGTGGAGACTGATGAGTTTGATTTTTGGTATGGTGGAGTGCTAAAACAGATTCCAAAAGAGTTAAATCAAGAACAGTTGGTTAGATATCATAGTGATGTATGGATCGGCCCTCAAAAGAATTATTCTACTATCAAAAGAGAAATTTTATCTATTGTACTGTGTATGTCAAAATTTCAAGATAATTTAATTAATAAAAAAATTATTTTGAAATTGATTGCAAAGCATCTAAAGATGTTCTACAAAAAGATGTAAAAAATATTGTTCCAAAGCAAAATTTTGGAAGATGGCAAGCTATTTTGTCCTATTTTGATTTCAAAATTCTATATATACAAGGTAAATCAAATGTTCTTGCAAACTTCCTTACAATAGAGTTCGTACAAAATAAGGAGAGTTGCGAGAATTCAAAATTGAGAGAAAATAGTGAATGAGTTGGGCAGATCAAGCTGAAAAAGAGGGGAAAAAAACTCAAAAATTAAAATAGAGAAATTTTCAATGGCTTCCTCTGAAACTCAAAATTCATTTCAAAAGAAAATTAGTAAAAAGAAAAATTCTACTCCATTATTTTCAATTGATGACCTCTGTAAAGGATCATCAAAACATAAAGAACAAGCTGCTACTTCTTTCTCTCAAAATACTCAAAACAAAACCCTCTCAACCTTTGTTTTCAAAAAACCAAACCAAAACAAACTTTCAAATCCAAAACAAAATAAATCATTAAATTATAAAAAAGCAGTTCAAAGTTCTGGTTAAACTTTCTCAAAATAAACCCCCTCCAAATTTTCAATATTTTCTCAAAGCAGCATGTGATCCAATCCTTGAGATGGAAACATCTTGGCTAAATAGATATTCAAATCTTAATGAATGTCTTTTAAGCCTTTTTCCAAAAAATTTCTGTTTCATACCTAAAAAAAATAAAAAAAAATCTCGAGATTATTATGAATCAATCCTGAAGAAAACTCAATCAGCTATAATATCTCATACTCCAAATGAACAAAATTCAAATAAAATTGATTTTTCAAAAATCAGTATTATGAAGCTATTGTCATATGAAGACTGGGGATAAAACCCATGGAATGAGAAAAGAATACGGCTTAATGAATCATTCGAGTCTCGTTTCGATTATTTTAACAAGGATGCCTGGTAAAATGTTTTCTACTTTAGACCAATGACTCATTCTTGGTTCATTTTTTAAATCAAAATTCCAATCCAAATTTTCCAAAATAGTTTCAAACTTGATTTGAATGTTTTGGTATTGAAGAAAAAGTTCTATCCAGTCTTACTCTTCAAGGATTCGAACACTTCAAAAGAGAGGAAAAACCCTTTTTAAAGTCTCAAGAAAATATTTTGTTTTAATTTGTATTCAATCTTAGAGTATCCTGAATACTCTGTTGGGACTTCTTTATCCTTCAAGATCCAAATTCTGAATATTTTACTCAAAAAATTATTTGACAATTCAAAAAAAAATAGTTGTCAAAATTTAGAGAAACAAATTGCTATCCAAAGATAGTTTAATCATGGATTCAAGAACAAACGGATATTGGTATTCCTAAAATATCAAAGAAAGAATTTGAGAAAAATGCATATTTTCTTATAGAAAAGTCAAGATTAATGGCAATATTTAATCAATGCTAGACGCTAGAAGAATTAGCAATAATTTCAGAAAAAATTACTTCTTTAGTTGAGACTGCATTAAAAAAATCAAAATCTGTTCACGAAAACTCTTCTCAATCAGGATCAATTTCAGACCATGCCTATAGTAATGAAGATATATATGATGGACAAGATATTGATGACTTAATTAATGAAGAGACACAAAAGAATTCAAAACGACTATATAGATCCGCTACTTAGATGAATTACAAAAATATTGGGTCATAAAATCAAAAGAGATATTATTCAAAATGTGTCTTCCACCGAACAAATTATTCTTGCCAGCTTTACCCATTTTTAAAAAGAGATGATAAAGTTTTCATTAAAGCAGGTAGAATATTCAAAAGGTTCAATTATGGGAGACAAAAACAAAAGTTGATGGAAACTTTTCAAAAGATGCTGCAAAAAATCAAAAAGGAGAAATAATTTAAGATTCTTTCTTCAAATTGAAAATTTTCAAGTCCGAAACTCAAGAATTCAAATATAAAAGAAGATCAAGAGTTCAAGATCAAGCATAGCGAATTTAGTGGGAGATAAATCAGCCTCAAGATAGTTTGAGAAAACATTGTAATCTTAAACTTTCTTTGAACTTTCAATCTTGTAATTCAAAATTTTTAAGTTCAATTTTGTAACATTAATTTATTTCAATAAAACTATTTCTTTATTTCAACATTTGTTGATTTTCACTTCTACTCTATATCCATGGGCTTATTTTGTTATCAAAGCTGTAAGAGAGTGAGATGAGGTTATAGTAATTTTTCATTATAGGCACTGTTCAATAGGAGAACTTGGTTCAAACTTGGATGTCTACTGAATAGCGTTGGTCAACCTATGTTTTGCCTAAGTTGGCGTGTTTGGGTGGTCCCGTTCTAGGCTTGTAAGAATCAGTCCATTCTATTTATAGTGTTTAATTATTGTAATTTCATTTTATTTAATTTTGCCTTTGATTTCAAATTGGTTATGGAGATCTAGAAATAGATCTAAAAATACTTCAAATGCTTTTCAAAATGAAGAAGAATTAGATCAAGCATCTTCATCTATATCAAATGAATTCAATAGTCATGAACTTCAAATTGCTCAAATTGAACAAAGATTGCATAACTAGACTATTCCTAAGGTAGAGAAAAACTTTATGTATGAAATAGGAAAGTTTGATTTTACTCAAAATTATGTAATCAAAACTTTTGAACAAACATTACTCATTAAAAGTCAAAATGCATAAATCAATTTATTTTCAAAAGAAGCTACTAAATCTCATATGAAGAAATTTGAATATCTTCATGTTGGATTAGTTCAAATTGTTGTTAAACCATTGTTTCGACTTGATTTAGACATTCCTATTCTCTTAACTCTTTGAGATAAGAGATTGCCCAAATTTGAAAATTCATCATTATCTAGTTTAGAATCAAACTTAGAAAGTGGTCATGTATATTCAAATTGTCATCCAAATCTTTCTATTAATCTCAATGATGGAGCCATTCTTAATGCCCTAAACCTTCATATTCAAACAAAAAATCTTGATTTCGATGATCGTTCAAATGTTTTTGCTGTAATGTATAGAATGTATTACAAGCTCATGATACTCAACTCAATATTGGTGAACAATGTCTCTATCATCATCTCTTTACTATTTAGACATTTCTTATCATAACTGTAATATTTATTCATTGTATCATCTTCTTCTTCCAAAGTACCATAAATGTCATCACTCATATTTCATTTATTGATTCCACATCTACTAGTAGGGCTACATTTTCCATAATATTTGGAGTAACATCTCCTAGTTTGGTTCACATGAACATACACCTGAAGTTCAAATCACAACTTCAATTTGCATGTCTCTTAAATCATGACAAAACTGATTGTAGACTCCGCCACATACATTGTAACATAATGGTGTATTTATATCGAAGAATCGCACACTATTAGATATAGTACAGTGAGTAATGAGCCATGAAAATCTCCCAACGTCATTTTGGGGTCATGCATGATTGTAGCATGCTATGCACTAAATCGTGTCTCATCTAAGTTGGTTGACCAAACTTCATACGAGTCATGGAAAGGCTAAAGTTTCACGTTGTGACGCTTATGTGAAACACATTGAATCGGATAAGTTTGAGGCTAAATTTGATAAATGCATGTTTGCAGAATATCTAAATAAGATAATCAGATATCAGTTTCATAATTTCATTGAAAAGAAAGTGTTTATCTTAAGACATGTCATATTCTTGTAGAAAAAGTTCACTCTAGGAGGACAGTGGGAGCAGAATAAGCCTTAAAGAAGTTCAAGAATCCATGTATATAATTGATCAAGTGTATGAACCTAAGTCTAATCCCAAACATGCTGAGGGACATACTCTTAATCAGGAAGAAGAGACTCTTGAAGACTCGCCAGCTTTGTATAAATCTTATAGGATCATTCAACCCCCTAGAAGGTATGAATTCAAGATTACTAATCAAGCATTACTAGCCGAGAATGATAAAGCTACATGTTACACAGAAACAAAGTCAAGTGTCAACTCAAAGGGATGATAGAAGGCCATAGAATTCGAGATGAACTCGACGTATGTAAATGAGATTTTGACCTTAATCGACCAGACCGATGGGAAAGCCCATAGGCTATAGTTGGGTCTATAAGAAGAGGTCAACATCGATGGAAACATCCATACATACAAGATAAGGCTAGTAAAAAAATGATTACGAACAAAGAGAAAGAGTTG